CAGCTTCCTCCACCTTGTGCCTAAAGAGCTGTTGCTCCAGGGTCACGTCCACATAGCAAATTTTGAATCTTTCTATTAACGTGGTCACTGTAAGAGTAGTGCTAATGTTGACTGCATGACTTTACAAGTTAGAGGAAGCTGCAAACTCTCTAGAATACCTACAGTTTGTACATGTCACGCTCGTTGAGTTGGTATTTACATGAGCTACAGTTGTGTTCAGAGTCGTCATTGTTATTGTTCCTTTGGGAGCGAAAACCCGGAAGCTTTCGGCTTTGATCATTCCCTTCTTGGGACAGGGTACAGCATCGTTGTGTGAAACACATAGGAGGAGTCGTACATTTCCGCTGGAGAGGGGGGGGGGTTGTCGTATTTGGTCCTTTGAAAAGGGGCGGGGTCGTATGTGCCTTTGAGGTAACTTTGCCGTGGTGGGAAGAAATTTTTTCCGGTTGTTGACTTTTCGTGATTTTTCCTGTTTCATGTGACTCCCCGCTCGACAGCAAAATTTTTGAGGAAAAGCGGGGAGGGGGGGGGTAATTCTCGGGTAATTCCGGAAAAAGAGGTGGGAAATCAGGAAAAACCCAAAAAAATTTTCCGTTTCACATGTGCCATTTACCTCCTCCCCCACCCGCTCGACGGAACATTTATGGGTGAAAAAGCTGTGGAAAGCTGGGAAATCGGTAGGGAGATGTTGGGGAAGGGGAGGGGGTCGTACCGAGACCCTCTCCTTAGGTGAGGGGGAGGGTGTCGTACCTACATCACCACTTCACACATCACGATGCTGTACCCTATCTTGGGATGCGTCACGCATTCCACATGCATTCGGAGTTTTGGTGTAGCTTTGAATGTGATTTGATATATACAGGCAGCAAGTGAGGCGGAGGTGGTGTAGTGACAAGTGGCGCGCTTACCACTCGCGCGGCGCCGGGTTCGAATCCCGGGTCGACACCCGCCCAGGCCAACCAAGCCTTCTACCCTCCGGGGACGGTGAATTGGTACCAGATTCGTCTGGGAGGATAAAACACTGACTTGTACATCGGCTGGCCACCGCAAGTCATTGTATAGGCCACATCGCATTCAATAAGCCACTACGATTCTGAATGGAAGTAGAATGCGTAGCCGCAATCGCCACAAAGGGATTGATCAAACCGCGAAGACATAATCTTTTCACCCTTAGGGTGGAGTCAGCCTGTGAAACCAAATCACCATCCTCATTCCTGGCAGAGAACGTTGCCGAAATCAACCTATTGAGAATAGAAAGCATTGTCGGTGAAAAGGGTAGCCGGTCTAGGATTTTGTCCCCTTGACCGTGGTAAGCGACACCAACTGCTAGTGTACAACCTATTCAACTCAATATTTGAAAAAGGATAAAGGGGAAATACTCTTCCTCCGAATAATAATCCCATCAATGGACGACACATTCTCCCACAGTGACGGGTTTTGGCGCTTACTTTTCGCTGTGTAGTAAAGTGAAAACACTCATCGGAGCATGACCGGTGTAGCGATGTCGCTTGGAAAAAATTGGCCTTCATTGACGCGCGAAGGAGAATGTGGAAATCAAGAAGTAAAAACACAACAGATCTATCGATGACGTTTCCATCCCAAATATATAGCCTTAGAGTGTTGGACTGAATGTCCTTGTAGTACGCGTCGGTCTAAGATCAGCCAGTAAAAAAGTATTTAGTATGACGACCTCTGTTGCCTAAATATTATAAGGGAAGGAGTGGGGAATATTTTTTCTCTCTCTCTCTTCTTTTTTGGACATTACAGGCTATGCTGACAGCTGGTGCCGTCTACCACGGAGTTGTACTCGCAAATTGCACATTTACTTGCACTCATACTTTGCGGTGGCGTCCGACAGCGCTCCGATCATCCGACGTCATCTAATGGTCACTGGTAGACGCTAGCAGACGCTAGACGGATATCTACAGTTTCCTAGTCGCTGACACTGCCGGATGCTCGGAACGCTGATGGAGGTCGCTGGTGGACACTGCCGCAAAGTATGAACGCAGCCTTACATACGCGCGATATCGTTTCGAATTACTAATCGGCTCCCTCCCAGGCCCAACAAGCTTTCTACTTTCCAGGTACAATGGATTAGTACTAGCTCTTCTGTCAAAACGAATTCCCTGAGTGAATTCGTAGACCGTGGTCCCCGAAGGTCATTGTGTAGGGATAGATCGCTTCAAATGAGCCGCTGCTATTCTGGATTCGAGTGATGCGCATGGCGCTTTATAAAAGAGATTCGTCAACGCTGGAAGCAACGTCACCGCGCTCTTTCCACGCCTCTAGGGTAAAGATGAGCAGAGTCTCAAGCATTGCGTTACCTCCATCTAACGGTTTACGTTCAATCCCTGATGTCTGTTTCATGTCGTCATATTCCGCAATTTTTTCAGACTCATCAACAGACTTCTGGACAATGGAAGCCGAGTACCATTCAATCCCAAACCAAGGATGCCATTCCACAAGGTATACCACACTCGCTAATCCAGTATTCATGCTCTCTTCTGAAAGAAACGAGATTCAGATGGAGAACATTTCAAATTTCCTTGAAGCCTGCAAAGCGTACGGTGTCGCCGAAATTAGCTGCTTCCAAACTGTGGACCTGTATGAGAACAAGCAATGCTACAAAGTCATCGAATGTCTCAGATCACTGGCTGCTGTGGTAAGTTCTAAAGCATTGCTATGGAACCAAAATAGGTTAAAATCGCCTGTATGCTTCAAGCTGCAAAATCAGCGCATATTTCTTGAAGGCAGAGATAATTCGGTACTCTTTAAATGTTAGCAGAGCGCTATATAGCGGAAAAATGGCGAAAGAACGGAGTGAAACGGTCAAAATCCTGCGAAGAAAAAGCCTCCGTTCTCAGTGACTCAAAATTTTGGACGAGTTTCCCATAGGCATCTTGCCAGTAATCGCTATCGGTACGGCTGCATACCCATCCCTTCGCTTCATAATTTGCTTAGCAAATGAATCAATACGAGCGTCAGGAACGGTCGTCCATTTGTGGGCGGGCGGGCGTGGTGGGCGTTCGGGTCGGTATGTTGTAGCTTGATAGGCCCCTATAAGGGTAACTTCCTTGGGAAGGGCGCTGCGCGGTGCCTTCTCGGGGCGCGGGGTTCCGTCCTGCCAGGCGTACTAATCCTACTCGTCTTAAGGGATTCATCGTGTCAACTGCCATTAAAGGCACATTCCGCGAAAAATAAGGCTATGACCTCTCAAATGTGTCGGACGATCAAGAAGG